AACTATGGGCTAAGTGCATTTTTGAAAGTAAGTATTAAGGGCTGTAAAATAAAGAGCCACACCTGCCAGGGAAGTAGTGAGTTTTTATACATATTAGAAGCTATCCTTAGAAGGACAGAAATATCTGTACTAGCTTCAAACAAGTTGTAAACATATGGTTTCTGTTAAAATAAAATAAAAATGGAATCAACTGACATTTGTTAGCCAATTTTTTTTTCTTATAGAAACTATGATCACTAGGCCCTTTTAATGTGTCTCTGTCTCCATTTTTTATGTAAATGGTTCCTAAACTTGGCTATACATTAGGGTCTCTCAGGGAGCTTTGAAATAATCATGTATAAGATGGCAGCCATTCCTTGGAATTTTTTAGACTCCTCTCTGAGTGCAACGTTTGGCAAAGATTGGGAAACAATCGTTTAAAGACTGAATAGACAATACATGTTTAGTCTACGTTAATAAAGTAGGTAGTTCTTAGTCCTCCTGGGGCCAAACAAAATACTTACAGAATGGGAGAGGCATTGCTTACATTCAGTCACAAACAGCATGCATGACCTTCTTAGGAAGCATTGTAAAATACAATATGGATTTTTAGAATATGTGAAATGTGTGCATTACAGAGAGTAAGAAAGAGCCTGCTAGATATAACTGTATAACCTTATTTCACATATGATTACTTCTGGCTAACATTTTTATAACTGTGTACCTAGAACTGTGCTATGCATTTTATATTAATCTTCAAATAACTATATAAGACAAGTACTGTTATCCTCATCAAATAAATTAATTATAGACCAGAGAGGTTAAGTCACTTCCCTAAGCTCACACAGCTGGCATATGGAGGACCAAGCAATTGAGCTTTTCACCTTGAAGGCTTGCCCCCAACCTGCACTCTACTTGGCCTCCCTCCCTACATACATGCAGCATGGGGTAAAAGTAGACTTGCATGTGTGAGTACCTGAAACACAGAGTTTATTCTTGTATTATCATTTATTAACTAGAGGCCCAGTGCATGAAATTTGTGCAAGGGAAGGCCTTCCTTCCCCCGACTGCTGGCACTGGCTTCCCTCTGTTACCTGGGACCTGGGCTTCCCTCGAAGCCCGGCTTTGTCCAGACAGTTCTCTGGAAGGACATCCGGTCTAATTAGCATATTACGCTTTTATTATTATAGATTATTGTCTTATTTCCATACATTCTGAATATCCCTGCTGTCTACAGGGACAGAGGCTGCAGCGAGGAGTAGAGGCCCTCTTACTTGGCCTTCTCCACTGAACATCACTCTCACTCCTGAACGTGGCTGTGACTTATTTGCTCTTGAGCCACATGCTTCTTTAAAGGGACATTAGGCCCACTTGGCGGGAGAGGAGACAGCTGTGCCGAAGCCGAAGTGGTCCTAGGGAATGGTAGCATCAGCAAGCAGTTACTGATGGCCTGCTATCTGCTCAGCACCATGCTAACCGCTGCGGGAGAACAAAACAGCTGCCTCGGCAAAGCAATGCTTTGAGGAAAAGACAGAAAATAAATATTAAAACGGAAATTAAAGACAATATAAATTATGAGGACATGACACCATCTGTAATTAAATGTAAAAACTAAACTAGACCACCCCTCAAGAAAAAATTAATAACTTCCTCCGCTGTGATCATGTACCAATATAGCATTTATTCACTCAGTAAACATGGTATGCATGCCTGCTGTGCTCTAGGCACCATGCCAGGTAACGGAATTCTCATTTAGTCAGCTTTTCACGTCTTTCTCCAACTGCTTCCCTTTATCCAAGCTATTTTGCTTAGAGTGAGATTTTTGAGGGCAAAGGCCACAGCTTGCTAATTGTTGTCTTCCCCAGCATCTACCCTACTTTGGCAACTCAGATGAAAGTGAAGTCATTGCCTCTGCAGAAAATATTCCCCAGGAGGGAAAATGTCATTTCCTTGCCATAAATCTGCAATCTGTTTATTCTGATGTACTTCCTCCTCTACCCTTATTTTGGTCAAGGGGAAAACAATGGGCTAAGTGTATTTTTGAAAGTAAGGGTTAAGGAGGAGGTGGGCACTTCTAGTTGGATTGAACTCATGAATTTATGTTTTCTTTCTCACAAAACCCTACTCCAGAGCCCCCTTGAATCTTCTGAGTCTCTTTCTTTAGTGCCTAGTTGTTCCTTTCTTAATATATTAGATTGAACGATACGAAATGACATGTTTGAGCATTTTTGACCTACAAAATTGGAAATTTCGTATGATTCAAATGAATACATACTGGTTAGATGGAAAAAACACACTTGAAATCATCGTAGTCTTTTTGCCAGAAGGCATAAGTTAAAAACAAAATATTTGCAGATTATATAATGAAAGAAAATAATTTAGTAACAGCCTGTTTTTATATGAATGCTGCCTCCATGTGAATCCTATAATATATAATAAAAGGGTAACATGCAAGTTAACCATCACTCTGTCACAAAGATGGTGGCGCCCAGTCCTTAGCCCTGCCAGAGTCTCCCAGTCCCGGGGGAGGGGTGGAGGGGGAGGGGTGGCCGCTGAGCAGGCAGCATGAGCAGCCTGGTGGAATTCTTGCTTTGTCGCAAGCAATCAGTGCCCAGCCATGGATGGGCCTCTGGGCAGTGGATGCGGAGTAGCCAGGCCCCTCAGAGAGCTACTGGAGCGTGAATTCATGCGCAGGACTACTAAGACATTAATAGAAATCAATTAAAATATATTTAAAAATTGCTAACACATAGTCAACACGTGGAATCTTATAGTTCTGCCATGAATCAATCCTCAGGATGTCTACAGAAAAGAAACTACAGCTTTAAAATATATATATTTTTATATCTATGTCTGAGTCTGATTCTTGTTGCATAAGTAACAGTGTTGAAAGTGCTCTGGGAACTAGGAAACTATATAACATATGTTCACACTGCTGTACCTTAGATCTGCTATAAAATAAAAGGCCAAAGAAATGCTTTGGCAGGTCTCTGCATCTTGGTGTCCTGAAATTCCTATCTCACTGGCATTAAGATAATCAAATCTGATTTTTCCCAGAGAAAGGAGGCATCTTCTAGTCTTTAGACCCTTAAACAATAAGGCATTTCAAAATGTCACGTACATCTTAATAGTCATTATGTTAATTTCACCACCTTTGGAATAGTTCCTGAGGCTGTCTTAAGTCTGCAGGGCCCTCATTTCTTTCTTTCTTTTTTTAAAATCTCATTTCTAATTCTAACCACATTCTACAATATTGAGGAAATGTTTAGGTATTAAGAAACTTGCTTTGAAAATCTGGTCTCTATCATTCATCAGTGTAGACCATTATTATTCTGCAAATCTGGCTTGTGGTAAAGTTATATCAGATTATTTAGTTCTTTACTATGCAACTAGTTGTATTGCTTTTACAATATTTTTGCTTTGGGCTACTTCAAAAGTTTTCATGATTGTAAAATAGTTTAAATTGGCTATTCTTTGATGTACTGTATTATTTGGTAGAGTAAACTAGTCTAAGTCTATAAAGTCTAATTTCTTACCCACTAAAATTTTTTTAAGTTAGTTGACTATAGTGGATTAAATTTAAGTTTGGAACGTAAAAGTTCAACAGCTGATATGTAACTTTTCCGAACACAATTATAAAAGCATGTAAAATTCAAAAAACGATATTTTTTAAATGAGCTATTATGGAAAAAATACAAGATACAAGAAATTTTAAAAGAAAGGAAAGGTTATCAAAGAAAGCATATTTAATAAGTTAGCATTCACAAATGGACTGCACTCTTAATGTAAAACAGTTCAAAATTTACCCATGACATGGACTTAGAGACTGTTTATATGCTATTTTCTTCCAATTTTATTCCTTTTTAAAAAAATAGAAAATAACAGTATCTAATTTATCCCAAGAATTTAGGCTCAATGAAAGCTTTCAAAGTCTAAATGAGTTTATCCCCAAAGATAGAAATAAATTAAAATATTTCTGAAGTTTTTACTTCTGAAGTGGAAATTATAAAATGCTCCATTATTTCCCACTTTGTATAATGAAACTTTGAATATAGTTATGCACATCAAATTCCCATTCAATTAATCCATAATGTACAGGGAATGGGAAGGAGATAGAATTCAAAATCTCTTTTCCAAGCTGCAGAAGCAGCTTTTTCTCTCATTGACCTGACTTCTCTCAGTAGCTGACGGTTGTTTGTTGAGTTCTGTGGAATATCACATCTCTGAAATAAATGAGCATTATCACAATTATGTCCAAAGCGAGGAGAGGTTAAATACCTTGTTAAAGTCAGAACCGAGTCAGACACAGCACAGGCTAGGTCCGGCCACTCTGCAGGATCTTCTAACTGCATCGGGTCTTGTCATCGTTTCTCCATTATTTGGTTAGAAATACGGACAATGTTGATTCTGGCTTTCACCCAGAAACAAATATGTGAGGAAATCAGTTTAACTGGAAGTAAAACTAAAAGAGGAGATTCAAGGACAAATCCCAACACTCTGATATTTTTCTCCTATCTGTATGACTTTTTATGAAAGATACAATAATATGTCTTCACAAAAACACATCTCTGATTTTTAACCTCTTATTATTGGTTATTTCTCACTCAGAGAAGTTTTGTGGTTTGGTTAATTTCAGTAATGCTCCTTAAAGCTTAAATAAAGCCAAAGTTCCATTGAAGCTTTGCTTTATAGTACTACTAATAATAACAGCCAAAACCGGTTTGGCTCAGTGGATAGAGCATCAGCCTGCGGACTGGAAGGTCCCGGGTTCGATTCCGGTCAAGGACATGTACCTTGGTTGTGGGCACATCTCCAGTGGGGGGTGTGCAAGAGGCAGCTGGTCAATGATTCTCTCTCATCGATGTTTTTAACTCTCTGTCCCTCTCTCTTCCTCTCTGTAAGAAATCAATAAAATATATTAAAATAATAATAATAATAATAACAACAACAACAAAGTTTTACCTATAAAGACATGAATTAAAATGTCATTCAACTACAATAGAAAGAGAATCTAAATTTTCCTTAGTTAGAGAAATGGGGCAAGTTAATAATTGCCAAGATGGAAGTGTCAGTTTATTTGCAAAAGGATTCCCTGAAGAGCAAAATTGTGACATTTATCTGTAAGCATCAATAATCTTCTAAATGAATTCCTTTTATTTTAAACTCTAGAGGATTTTTTTTTTAAAATGTGTAAGAGGTATCTTCTTAGCTCCCTTAGCCATATTGCCTAATAGTTCAGGTTGCAAATCCTGGTTCATCGTTTTCTTTTCATTCTGATGTTACTCAAGCTGCTGTTTGCTATTTGTTCTGTGATCCCTATTTCTTAACTCAGATTCCAGTAAAATACTGAAGCTATGTTTTCTCTCTGTTCTGGACTCAAGTACTTCGGGTGGTAGGCTTTCCCATTGAACATTTTCCTGTCATTCGCTAAGGAAATTTGAAGCTCATCCAGGAAAGGGTAATCCTGATGATTTACTGGAAAGAAAAAAGTCAGTTAGGTTGAAGTGATTTACACACCCAGGAGAAGTAGATAGGATACTCGTATTTCATGCACCAGGCCTCTAGTGATAAAATAAAATAAAATAATTTGACATATAAATCTATATTTTGCTCCTTGTAGCCCTTCTGTCTTTTTCCCATTCAAGCATTTAATAACTGCTCTTCCCACTCCCTCAGAGGAGGGACAGTAATAACATAACAGTAACTAACAGATGTGGCACATTTATTCTGTGCCAGCCGTAGTCTGTTTAGTAAAGAAGTCAGCCACAGTAGCCCTAGATGCAGGTATTGCTCATACCTCCATTTCCAAACGAGGGAACTGGGTAACAGAAGTTTAAGTAACGGGCCCACGGTCACACAGTTAGAAAGAGGTGGCCAGGATTCAAAGTCTGGCTCAGAATCTGAGCTCCTCTCTATTAAAAATAGACAGTTCTGTCTCTCAGGGACATTGCCTCAGGGGGAAAACAAAACAAAAAACCCTGGAAAAAGCTATTCGAAGGGCAGAATAAAGGTCAATGTTCTGGGAAGGCATGCCAGAGACTGAACTTCACTGGGGAGGATGTTCTTCCTTTAGTTTTTGGCTGCTTGGTCAAAACATGGTGAAAAACTGTCATCAGGAAAGGTCAAATTTTTTATCTTAAATGATTGCACCAAAGGTATGAGACTAGAATGAGACCAGACATCACTGGCTGAAAGAAGTAAGAGAAACACTTTTTTTTTTTTAATTTTTTTATTTTTACTGCCAAGGAGATGGTTTGCATGGGAAAGAAACTGGAAGTGGCTTCATCCTTCAGGAGGTACCAATAGATTATTCGAAGGTGGTGAGGACGTAAATGAAGGTGATGGCATTGAGGTTGTGACAGCGGGGCTGATGAAGAGGGTTTGGCATCCAGGAAGAAGAATCAATAGGACCTACCACTAAAGAAGTGTAGGATAAGGGCAAGAAATTATGTGCGATTATGCCAAGACTTTGAACTGGATAAATAAATAAATAAATAAATAAATAAATAAATAAAGATATATATATATAGTGTATATATATATATATATATATATATATTCTATATATATATATATCTATATCTATATATAGTTGTCTTACTTATATGTTCTATCTTTTGTCATATAGATAAAAACTGGGGATTGGTTCTATTTTTAAATGTGGTCATAAAAGTTAGAATCATCATGTGTTTTCCAATTAGTTGGGTAATATTCTAAAATGAGATAATATTGTAAGAATCTAAAAGCTGGAGAAAAAGTACACATAGAGATTGGATTTAGGTATCTGAACAAAAAACGATTTATAACCAAGTTATTGAAAGCAGAGAAGTCGTACTGAGGGCGACAGTGAAAGCAGACAATCTGAGGTACCGCCCATCTTCCTTATGTGCTCAGGCATATTTCAAAATGTGGTTTTACTTACCATGTGTTCTTGTTTTCTTTTTCCTCCACATATTTTTACACTGTATAGCTGCACTTCTTCTTCATGTGTGACGTGCAAACAATCTGCTTTCTATTAGGATTTAACATTTATTTGGTTTCAATTGTTTTGTTTTTTTATGATGGGATCTTATGAGGAGATTCTTGTTTCATAAGAAAGATGTTATTATTTAGATCCATAAAATATATGCCATTCTGAAGTCCTTGCCTACATGTGGGGGGAAAAAATAACCCAAACATTCCTTGGCAGAGCTCTTTTTATCCTTTGCAGGGGGAAAACTGAATAAGAAAACATCTCTTGAGCTTTGTTAGGGAACAATTTAGAGTTAGTTATATTCCAGTAGAAAAAAAAAAAATCAGGTAGGTGTGTCGCCTGAGCACAAAAAAGTGAGAAGGCTTGAAATAGAAATAAATGACAAAGATCTATTAATGTGTCTCAGGATTTGCAAATCAGAAACACTACCAGGTAACACCCAGCTTGTTCTAAAGAAAAGAGAAGAATATAGAGTTCTTACAGTAAAAAGTGAATTCTTGAGGATAGGTCCTGCATTCTTAGCCTCTGGATTGGTCTGAGATGGTAATCTTACAGATGTCTGATGGTCTGAATAATGTATGTCAGGTGACATGGAAGCACGAATATTCCTTTTTAAAAAATATATATATTTTATTGATTTTTTACAGAGAGGAAGAGAGAGGGATAGAGAGTTAGAAACATCGGTAGAGAGTTGATCAATCATCAATCAACTGCCTCCTGCACACCCCCTACGGGGGATGTGCCCGCAACCAAGGTACATGCCCTTGACCGGAATCGAACCTGGGACCTTTCAGTCCGCAGGCTATCCACTGAGCCAAACCAGTTTCGGCACAAATATTCTTTCATAAGTTTTTCAGAAGGTTATCTATAGGATATATATTTTTATTAATATATTTTTATTAATTTCAGAGTGGAAGGGAGAGGGAGATAGAAACATCAACGATGAGAGAGACTCATTGATCGGCTGCCTCCAGCACCTCCCCCACTGGGGATGGAGCCGAGCTCGGGCATGTGCCCTTGACTAGAATCGAACCTGGGACCCTTCAGTCTGTAGGCCGACACTCAATAACTGAATTTTATGATTGTTTGTATTATGTGATTTTTATGTAAATGTATACACACTGTAACAGTTGATAGCTCCATTTTGAGAATGAAATGTTTTTAAAAACATTGCCTTTAGAATTATCCAAAGCCCTGGTTTAAACCCTCCATCTTGATATGTCCTGGGAAGCAAGCATTCCACACAGGGCTTACTGTGAATAGAGAAGGTGGGGTAAAAACATATAGACCCCCAAAGAAAAATACAGGGAGAAGTATATAGTAATTACAACTCCAAAGAACTAAGACCATGTACACATTGATGGAATGCAAATGTGGTGGCATTCTCAGAATCACAGGGTTATTTTTTTTTTTAAAGAAAAGGACAAAATGGTTATGAAGGAAAGGGCAGTTCAGACTGGCGTAAATATTAATATTGTGTGTTGAGAGTAGCAATTGGGTATTTTGGAACTTGGTAATAAAAAAGCAAAGTAGGCAGTAATGAGTGATGTCATGGTGATTAGATGTGAAAAGAACACAAGAAGGTCAGAGGAGCCCGGAAACATTACTTATGCACTTTGATATAATTAGTTGATAGGATTATATATAGCAATTGATTTAATTATTTATAAATATGCAGTTGTTTTTTAGCAAGAGAAAATAAGAAAAAATCATAATTAATATGCCTCTTTTTTTTTCCCAATACAAACACTAGATCAGCATTTCTTAACTAGGGGTGATTTTGCCATCCTCTCCCCATCCGACCCCCACTCTGACAATGTCAGTAGACATTTTTGGTTGTCACAGCTGGAGGTGGGGTGCTACAAGCATCTATGGGAAGAGGCCAGGGATGCTGTAAGCACCCTGCATTGCACAGGGCAGCTCCCACAGCAAGGAGCCACCCAGCCCCAGAGGACAGTTGTACCAAGCTGGAGAAATGCTGGGCTAGTTTAAGGCAGAGAAGTAAAGTTCATAAATGTCATTACAAGGGCTAAGAACCAGGTCAGAGGCCTCCAAATAGTCCCTTGTTGACATGATCAATCTCCTCTTTCATCAAGCTACCCACAAAGCTAATATAAAGAGTAAAGATAAAATTAGTTACATTCAATTGTAGGAATATTCCAAATTTCACATTCTGCTCTTAATAATAGACTCTGTGTTTCCACCCATCAACATAATGTTGAATGACAAAGCAAGTCAAGTAAGAATATGATATATTCAGTGTGATACCAGTTATGGAAAGTTTGAAAACAAGCAAAACTAAACAATAAACATATTGTTTAGGGATATATATAAGGTATATAAGGAAAATGAAGAATGATAACAATATCATTCAGGATAGCATTTATGTCTGCAAAGAAGGAAAATGGATTTGGAGAAAAGCACAGGGGACCCTTCAATATATTGATTACATTCTAATTTTTGAGTAGGTTATTGAGTGAAGTTACTGTACTTTAGAGTTTACATAAATATCATATATTCCTTTGGGGCATCAAAAATCACATAATACAAACAATCATAAAATTCAATTATTGAGTGTTGGCCTGCAGACTGAAGGGTCCCAGGTTCGATTCTAGTCAAGGGCACATGCCCGAGCTCGGCTCCATCCCCAGTGGGGGATGTGCAGGAGGCAGCCGATCAATGAGTCTCTCTCATCGTTGATGTTTCTATCTCCCTCTCCCTTCCACTCTGAAATTAATAAAAATATCAATATATTAAAATAAACTGAAATTCAGTTATTATATCAGTGCAATGGCCACTGAAGATTTTTCCTTTAAACTTTATTACCCCCTGCAGGTTGTATTAGGTACTGCAAAGAAATGTCTTTCAAAAACCAAATGAATGAACATCAAAATAGATGAACTCTGCAAGGCATTTGGGATATAAACAAATACAAAAGGCTGGTTTTCTGCTCCAGCCATGCTTAAAATCCATTTGTGGATAAAGAACATCAAGAACACATTAAGGAAATAAACGATATAGCACACAATATTATATTTGTGTGCTATATTTCTGTCATTTAAGTATGACACTTTGTCAGTGTCATACTTAAATGACAGAAACAAACGATATTTGACAGCATGAGAAACTGATTTAGTTTACCATCAGAATCCAGTCCCTTCATCTGATTCTTCCTGCCACTACCTCAGGCCAGGCCTCAGTTACCTCATGCCAGTTACCACCTGTTCTCCTTGTCTCTCCCCTCTCCTCTGTTCTCCCTCGTTTGTTCTAAACATTGCTGCTATCTTAAAATAACCGCTTCATATTAGAAGCCATTCATGTTCTCCATCTTCGTTTCCACCAGACCGCTGTGCCCAAGTTCACCCTATTCAGAAATCCTGGAACTATCATTATCTTTGAGGGAGTACTTTCTCTGAATTCCTAAAGCACTTACTGTTTGTATCATTTATTTGCCATTTTCACATACTGATACTGAAACTGATTTCTTTACATAAGGTTTGTC